AACTGATAATGACCAAACGGGTTGAAAGGCGTAAGGACGCGAAGCAAACGCGATTCCGAATCGCTAACTAGCTGCGGCTTTATAACGTCACAGTAACAAAATATGGGAGAGGGACTGGACTGAAATGTGACCCGAGCAGGTAAAAATACTTCTACCAACCCCGCCTCATAAGATTTGCCGTCGTCACTGCTGCAAATAACTCGATTCAGTTGTGTGCCAAAGTTTGAAATAGTATTATCACTGTAAAATCGTTTCGAGCTATCGGAGCACAAGGTGATATACATTCTGGAGACAGATCGCAAACAAAAATCCACGCCCCCTTACAGTATTGTAGCCCCGTCAACGTGCAAACATGAACTGATGAATAGGGAACGGTAGCAAACGTTTTATATATTCCCACCTTGAGGGCGTCGCCCTAGAAGTCGCCGAGGCGCCACCTCAAAGATGGGGGCGCGACCGGCAGCCGCAGCAGCAGCCACTGCCACTGGCAGCCACTGCCACTGCCGCAGCCGCAGCCGCAGCCGCTGCCGCTGCCACAGCCGCCGCCGCCAGGCGCGGTGGTGGGCGCGCACACCACACCCTTTACCCCTATGATTCCTTCCATCTTCACTTTTTAACTGTTCTTCTTTCTACTTCTTCAACTCTTCAATGTCTTGCAAGTCCCTCTCGGGGACCCACGAATCAAAGTTTTTATCATACCCGGCCCAACGCACCAGGTACTGCAGATCGCGACCTTTGCGTCCTCGGCGATCCAAAATTCGCTCGATTCTGTATACCGTGTCTGAAGTAGGGGGTGTGATTCGCTGAAGCTCGTGGCCGTAGAAGCGACCAACGATAGACTCGCCGTTTAGATCCGTCAGCGTGTACATGTGAACTGGCGAGAATGGAATGACCTTAGCGACTTTGTATATCTGCCTCGAAAACTTCGCCGTGTAGCCCTTCTCGGTGAATTCCTTAGTTAGCGAAATGCGGACGAATTGGCCTGGTTTAAAAACTGGAGCGGTTGTCGTTGCTTTGCCGCCGCTGTTGCTGACCCGTCGGTTTGAGTCGCCTCGCTCGTTGGTCTTGTGAACAGCCCGTTGACGTCGTCGTAGCAGTTGTGGAGCTGTATGTCGCAGGTAGATTGTTGACCAGATTTTGAAGACATCCTTCTCTGAGACATCAGCGGGTGCCATGCCCGTGGCACCGTGAATAGTGTGGTTGTAGTTGGACACAATTTGCGACAGGGGTTCGATCCATCGCCAGCTGTTTGTGTACTCAAAATGCTTCCATAGCGGTGTTTTCAATGTCCTGTTGACGATTTCAGCCATGGCAGCTTTCCCGCGATTTTCCAGAGAACGAAATGAAACACCCCATTTTCGGAAAACTTTAGACACCTCCCGGTTGCAGAATTCCGTACCCTTGTCACTTTGAACCAACCTGACACCTCTCCCAGCCCGAGTAAAGTGTTGTTCGAATACATCAGCAACCTCCCTGCCTGTTTTCGTTCTCAGAGGGTACATCCAGACATAACGGCTGAGACAGCATACCATGGTGAGAAAATAATTGAAACCATCGTTGTAGGAGTTTAATTTTCTCATATCATTAAGATCAACTTCATACACATCATACAACCCCTTGATATTATAAAAATTCAGTGGAAAATTCTTACGAGCTGGCTTGTAGCGTGTATAAATTTCCTGGCTCAGAAGCCACGCATGCACCTCCGCAGGCGTGATTCCACGCGTGCGGGCCACTCTCTTTAAATTTGCAACAGAAGAATACGCAGATGGATTTTTTAAATCATAGTATATTTCACACATTTCTCGATCGACAAACTGTCTTCGACTGCCCTCCTCGCCGTCGTCGTCGTCGTCGTCACCACTGCTGCTGCTGCTTCGACGAACCATCTCCCTCCCCCGCGGTGGGCGGGCGCCGGCGGTGACGCCGGCGGTGGCGCTGGCGGTGGCGCGGGCGCAGGCGCCGGCGCCGGCGCCGGCGCGGGCGCAGGCGTTACTTGCAGTTGACGCTGACAAAGCTGAATTACGCCCGCTCCCATTTTGTAGTCCGATGCATGCCCATCGCGGGAATGTGCAAGCATGGCGAATCCGAGGTGGTGTACCTGCGAATGAGGTCATCATGGCATCTACTTTTTGATCTTTCGGGGGCGTCTCTCTAGCTGCAATGGCGACCACACCACTTCGCGGCCGCGCAACTGACGAATTTTAGGAGACGTGTGCGGCGACCTACGGATGCAGGTGGTTGCTGGAGAACCGATCGGGGTCGAGAACGCGCTCGGTGATACGTCCTCACCCACGCCGCGCCAGGGCGTGACTGCATACGGCTCTTCACCATCATCCATCTCCATGCGCGAGGCGTGCAGGATAGTGTCGTTGATTGTCGTTAGCTGCTGACTCTGATGTGTCACACGGTCACCAATGACATCGAGCAGTGTCTCGAGTGAAACAGAGCGGGCATCTTCTTCCGCGTCTTCATGATGCGGCAACGCGACAGCAGCCGGGATTGCATCGCGCTCATAATTGTAGTCTGAAGACATGCGATGAGCGAATACGGGTGCACCGTGAATGTATTTCTTGTGAATACCCGTCACGTCACCGCTCTCTATCAACTCCTCACTCTCCGGATAATGTTGCCGTTCAAGACTACGTCTTACCGCCAAGTGTGCTCCAAAAGCACCGACATCTTTATCATCACTCTTTTCAGATGCCACCATCGCGACTGCAGTGGATCCCCCTTGTCCAGGAGAGGGCTGGCGAATGCCAGTGTCATCTTTCCCCTCCATCTTGACGATTGACTGCTTCTGTTTGTCACGTTCCTCCTTGACTCTCTGCCGCAACATTTGCTGTAAAATGGTCTTTGTTTCGTCAATGCTTTCGCGATCGTTTTCTTGAACTTCATAAATGGGCAGATTTATGTTATTTTCTCTTTCGTCTCGCTTCACATCAAGAAATCGTTGCAGCAGCGCACGATATTTGTCCCACTCTTCGTGTTCTTGAACGTCGTCCTTTTTAACCGAATTTCTTAGAGTGTCTTGCATTTTTCCTTCTAAATCTTTTTTCATGTCTTTTAACGTTTCACTCTTCATCCGCTCCAACTGCTGCGGTGAAATCACCAACATTTTTTTAAGCACTGAAGCACTCATTTCTCAGCTGAATACCCTTAACCTGATTTTTTATCGGGTACAACCACACGACTCATAACTCTTCCGATGACACCACCGAGGGCTGAGCTGATTAATGCCGTCAGAAAGGGTCCGTTGCCTTTCTGCACAAGATACCGTCGTTTCTTCTTCCAGACGGGTTCGGCTTTTCGCACACCCGCACCGGTTTGTCTCTTGCTTGTCGTAGCCCGCTCCTTCACGTACGCCAGATGTCGGAGAACGGTCTTGTACTTTTGAAGAACGTCTCGCGACTGATCATCAATAGCGATGTTCCCCCTTAAAATATTCAATGCGATCTCGCATACGCTCAGAATTAAATCCTCGTCAGCGTTTTTTATCATACACTTTTGCAGTTCAGAGGGGCTCTCGCGCAGAACATGCAGATGATGCCTGCACTTTGCCAGCTTCTCGAGAGGATTTGTCATTGCTTGAAAATGTTTCCTGCAGGGGACACCAGTATTGCTCCTTTCCCTTTCTGTCGTAGCTGCTCGACTGCCCCGTCCGTAGCGTAAACTGTCAGATGCGGATCCGTCGGCCAGATATTTGTCACAAAACGGAGCGCATCATCTGTGGTTGGATTTAAATCGATTACCAGGTATGAGAACGGACCCGACCACGCGTCGTTCAGTGCCTCACAGAGTGATCGCGCGTTCTCAGGGTAAACTTGTCGTGCTAGGTGCATAAACTGCACCTTATCGCGCACGTTCTTCAGCAATATGAAGTAGCGGGTTGACAGACTTATCGAACGGGCGTGCTTACTCTGATGAAACAGGTTTTGAGATAGAATGATGACAGATATTTGTCGATGTCGTGAGCCTTTGGTATACAGTTCCGCAATCGTTAGATCGTTGAGCGCGGAATTCATCAGATCATCTAATATTACCAATGAATCTGTCTGCAACACGCTGGAATCCTCCGCTGGGATGCCACGGTGCAAAGTTATCGCAGGGTTTTTCGACACACCTTCTGGTACGGCTCCGTCCTGGCCGTAACACCACACAATATTTGATATGTTTCCTTCGACCAGCTCTGTAAGGTGTTGCAAGAGACGTAACATGAAGGTTGACTTTCCTGATCCAGCAGGAGCGGCCAGGCACGCTGTAAAAGGATGCCGCATACGCCACATGATTGGACTTTACCTTCTCAGCAGCCAGGGATGAAGTGATGACTTGGTCAGGGTTCTACCGTCTTTTATACTAAGTGACAGGGAATGAGGAAAATGCAGGTATTTTCATTTTTTTTATTTTTTATTACCACCCAATTGATTATAAACAAATACACCATTTAATTATTACAGAGGTTTACAGACACATTTCATCTTGCAGCAGTATTAGCTCTCTCAGGTTTCTCGCACCTTCATCATCATCATCATCATCATCATCATCATCATCGACAATAGAATCTATTTCATCATCATTATGTGCTGCACGAGCATTAATACTTTTAATTTTATAGTGTCCATGTGCTAAAGTAGAACAATTGTCACTTAAAATAAATCTTTTATCATCGTAACAACTTAAGCCCTTTTTAATGGAATAAGTTGTATACACATTATGTTTACAATCAGTCCCAATTTTTGAAAAAGACACATTCTTACACTTGAATTGGGTAATACATTTATGATAGTCTTCAAAACACAGTTGTGATTTCAAGGCAGCTCTAGGAATTCCCTTTCCCACCGATTTCTCTTTTTGTGACTTTGTTTTAAAGCTGTACATTTTGGCTCTTAATCCTACAAAAGAATCGACGGGCTCTGAATTCATTTCATCCTTAAACTTACCCATCACTTTTTTGTTCGCTACGCTGTAAAGCGGATGGGATGTAGGATAATCAGAGGTATCGAAGTACTCTCTCATTCCATACATATCTTGATACATATCTTCTGTCAATATCTCCACAATTAAAGAATCAGTATCCGTACCACATACCCTTACATTATCGCCATACCTCTTCTTCAGAACTTGATAATAGAAACGATACATAATCATTTTACTTATATCTAAACAAACCTGGCCTACAAAAAGTGGCCGGTTGAGAACAATTTGTGATCTTTTTCTCTCAACACAAACAAGGTTATGGTTGAATATATCAAAACTATGATAGAGGGGGCTTCTTACAAGTTTCCGAAACTTTTCTCTATCCTTAGTTAGTACAACATTTCTGTGATTCCTTACTGCCTCACATGTCTTCCCAAACACAGAGTTGCACATCAATTTCCAAAATGATTTTTGAAAATCAGATGTAGCTTTCTTGCGCATGTTTATATTGTGTTCAATGAAAGGCTTGAGCCATGCTTTTTGCTCAAACTCGATCACTTTGTGAATTTTTCTTAGTTTTAAACCTAATTCTAAATACAATATCAAGATATCCCCCAGTAACACATAATTCTTTTTATCTGACAAATTCGGAATTAGTTTTTTTGTACTTTTCTTAGACAGTCCAAAATCTCTGATCATTTTCTTCTGTAATGGAGAAAGGTCTTCATACTGCGGTTCAACATGCTCTGGAGCTAAAGGATAACAATTGTGCCAGTCATGCAAATCAGCAGGGTAATCCAGATCAACCTCAAATAAGTATCCAGTATCAGATTCAGGGTTTATTATCTGCGGATCAAACTCATCAATTTCCTTTTGACTCAGAAATCTAAATCCACCTACTGGCAGCTTTTCACATAAGGCCGTCGAGTACAAGGCATTTGCATCATAGTACATTACATACGAATTAGGTTTGTCTTTACAGTATGATTCAGGTATGTATGGATTATTAGCTTTAACATTTCTATGATTAATGCTGGCGACACCACCACGCATCCCTCTCTCAAACATGAGGTGCATTCGATATTATCAATGAGCTCTAATCGCTGCTTTGTGAACAGGAGACTAGCTGAGAACGCTAGTCCGGGTGTAGTAAAGAAGTGTACGGGATCCAATTTATAATGTTCCATGGCAATTTTGCGAAAGTTTTCCATGCAGTCAGCCAGCAGTAACACGTCTGTTAACAAGTACAAGTCATGGTAGTCCCATAGACGACTCATTTTAAATGATCTGAATACATTACATGCATGCTCGTAATCCTCTGGCGAAATGTTTTGTCCTGTTAAATCATTTTTAAATGCTTCCACTGCAGGCAAGCACGACTCTTGAAATTTCT